CACTGTAATTTAGCTTTAACTCTGTAGAATATTTCTCATTTAACTACACAATATTAACGATTTACGATTTAACGAGTCATTGTTCTAATTTATCAAAACAAATCCATAATCCATAATAAAGAAAAATTATAAGTAATCAAAACGTGTTTTATTGGTGTTCAAATAAACTATTTCCCTGCCAATGCTCTTAAATAAAACCAGTAATTGATTTTGAAGACAGCCAAATATAGTAATAATTAAATTAAAAAAATATATATCAAATAGATCGTTTCATTTATTTACTTATTGCAATGACGTATCATTCTACCAGTGGCGTGATGAAGACAATTTTTTGAGGCCTGTGCCTCAACATAAATGGGTGGTTGGTGGGCTGTACGGATGTTAGGTCATGAGAATAATATGAGATTGACTTGTCATAATAGAGAATTAAATGTTAACAAATAACAAACTGTTGGGAAGATAGCGGACTTGTAAATTGTACAGTTTGTACATATAAAATTAGTGATGGTGGTGGTGGTGATAGTAAAAATAAAAATGCATTGGACCTCACACATAAAAAATGTTCTACATGCCACTGATTTCTACGATAGAAGAGCATATAAGTATCGTACCTTAGTAGGTAGCTACGTCTAATGTCTATAGGTGTATAATATATACAAAGTGTAACAGATAGAATTGACTTTTGGAATAACTTTTATTCTAATCAATAATTATTTTTTTTTTTTATATATAATTTATAGTTACTTGCGCTACACATATATTATACAAAAAATTATTTTTATTTTTGAACACTGGAAATAAAAACTTTAAAATTTGATTAAATTTTTTTTGGATATATTCAAAATAGCCAATTTTTGAATCTGATTACAAGAACAATTTGATAGTAAAAACATTTATCTAGGTTCAAGTAGTTTATTTTTTAGAATTTTTTAAATATCAATATTTTTTTGATTAAATTAATTTGAAGCGTAATAACTTTTTTCAAAATGTTTTTTTTTGGGAATTTGCTGACATGAGTATATTTCTTAAATAATTTACTTATTACATAATTTTAACAATTTTTTTCATAAGTTTAAGTGGAATATTTTTTTTTTTGTCAAGTCTTTCTGTTACAACTTGTGTATTATGTAAACCTCGGACCTCCTATATACAATGGTCAATGGATATACATTGTTTTAGTACAGTAAATTATAATGCATATACATTGAATGTATTAAGCGAATTTAAACTATAATGTCTATCTAATATCTAACTATCTATTAACATTATGATAGTCATAGGACATAGACTATAATATTACATAAAATGAAAACCAAACGACATTTTTATAACTATTTTAAGTACACTTCCATTATTACACACTAATTTTTTACTATAATTATACATAATATCATTGAGCATTTATTATAATATACTCAATGATATAATATCGATAGTTGACATTCGTATTTAGGTAAATAGTTGTCGTCCAATATGGTGAAGTATAGTAAAAATTAGATATAATTTATTCGGTATTTACTTCTGTTTCTAAAATCAAACTTAGTACCTACCTATAGTTATAGTTCCAAAGAAACGTAAAATTAAAATTTTCAAATATTTTTCTATAACATTTTGAAGTCATTAATATTATAACAATAATCGTATTATATATTTATAACTTTATACTATTATACATTTTGAAACATAGGTACAATCAGCTGCATTTCAGCATACTATACAAAACAAAGGTTAACGACATGATACAGGACAGAGCAAAATATATAAAGGCATATATAGGAAAGCTTATAGTTGACGGTCGACCGAACTCGACTATATACCTACCTATTTAATGAGCTTAGCAACGGTTCACTGGTGTGAGAAATACCTTTGGCGCCTCTAGACGATAAGTAAGCCGACATCACGAACTGTTGCATTTAACGCAAATTCCGTGTAATCGTGTTAAAGTATTAAATACATTAAAAATAATTCAAATTGTTGAACTAAAATTCATCACATAGGTACACCAGATGTCCAGAACATATTATTATAAAATATAATTTTTATAAAATAGAAATATGTATATAAATAGAAAACCAAAAATGTTTATTCAAATAATATCTCATTTCAAACCTTGCCACTTTCATAATTACTGGGAACCCCCAGGAGATTCAGAAGGAAATGGTGTCAAGATCTTCTCAATGAGTAATCTAAAATATAACAATATAAATTTTAAAAAAAAATCATTAAGTAAGGGTAGCTTACCACTGGGTGAGGACTGAGGGTGACTCCTCTCATCAAATAATCATGTATCTATTATTTTCTTTTACCACATATTTTTATTGTTCCTAAAGGAACATATTGTATTTACCGTATAAACAATAATAATAATAAAAAATAATAATATCTATTGAAGCGTTCAAAAAATATTTTAAACCAAATCGATTGGAAACCAACATAGGTACCTACGCAGTAGATATTTGTATAGCGTATATACTTACGTAGTGGGGAAGGAGATCGACGTCAACCCGGGATTATAATTAAAAAGTGTTTGTATAAAAAATATTTGTACGTCCTCGAGCAGGGCATTGTTAAGTTGTGATTGATTTATCAATTAACGTTTTCGCATGAGGGTTTACATATTATACCTAATATTAAAACAGCCCGTCCTCATGTGGCGATTAAAACAAAAAAAAAAAAATGGAATATAAGTAGTATAAAGTATAATAATTAATAGACAATAGGTAACTCGCTTATATATTGAACATTTTAAAATTATTATTTTATATTTATTTTAGATTTAGATTATAGAAGTGTTGAAATCAGATTATTATTTTTCTATTTCCATATTAAACAAACAGAAAAACTTGTTTAACATAATTTTAATATTATGTAATATATAATCACTCACTCAATACAATAAAATACCTTCATTTATTTATATTTTTTTTTATATCACTTTGGCAAACTTATATTTAAATAAATTAAAATTTACTTATAATCTCTGTTAGGTATACAATATGCAATTGTTTTGATTAACATATTTTTTTTTAATGTATAAAAATAGCTTTAATAAGTATACCTATGGAAGATATACACATTAGAATTTTTTTAAGATTTTGTTTTTTGTTGTTGATAAAAACTATTAAATGATGAAAAACGGAATAGTGAGGAATATTGTTCATACTTCATAATACCAAGTGAATGAAACAATTTGTGCACATTATATGTACAATGAACATTTATAAGGGTAACATTTCCATCTGGATTCAGTGAAACTGTGAAAAGAAAAAAAAAAGAATAGAGAATGATGAGGGAATAATGAAAGAAACTTCATATTTAGTGAACAAAAAAATCCTTTGGTTTCATTTCATTTCACTCGTGCAAATAACAAAAACATTTTTAAAGAAAACCTACCTAATCAATTAGTACCTACTTAATAACTAGCATTTTTTGCATTCTCTTTAATATAACTCGAGTGCAAATAATATTAAGAACATTTTCAGTAAATTATAAATTGTTTTAAGTATCCATAGGTTCCAGAAGACCTAACATTTTCTATTTCCTGAGAATAGCAAATAAAATAAAGATTATACATTGTCACAAGAGCTTACTAAAATTAAACATAAGGCATATTAGGCATAAATGCATAATTATACGTGAAACTAAAATTTATTCAAAAGTTTGATGTAATTACTGCATATTTAAAATAGTAATCGACTGTAACCTAACAAGCCCTATGATAATATATTTTTAATTTGTATTCCCAAATGCGCATTTTGTAACCTCGTTTAGTTTATAAATAGACCAACCAAAAATAAAAAATGTCAAAGGTATTGAAAGACAAAAGTCATTTTACAAAAATACAAAATGTTTCAAAATTGACTAAACACAGGAAAACTACGGCGATTGGGGGGAGGATGTCCCCTTTGTCTCCCCTGGATCCACCACTGTGTGGTCTTCACTAGTTGGAAACCGGATGACGCAATCGGACTACAGTACGCGGGAAATTGGAAATTAAAGACTGTGTAGTGTGTGAGTCGTAGTCAACTGAGTGACCACTGTGCTACTCCGGCCCCAAATGTAGGTCTAAGTGAGTATAATTACGATATTGAGTTTATATGCTGTTATACGTAAAATAATAATTGCTAAAAGCCCAAAAATACCTACCATATTAGATATATAGAAAACGATATTACTCATTAAAAAAAAAAAACTTGAATAATTAAGTTAATAATTATGGTTCTTAGAATGCTTTTAACTTTATAGGTTGAATTGATATATATTTTTAGATATTAAAATATCATTTATAAATGAGAATAGAAAGACAACATTTCTGATCACAATTATTGTGGAGGATTATTCTCCATGAACAGGACCCCTAACATCACTCGTACCCTTGGGCTACTAATGAAAAATCGACAAGACATATTATATACTGAAATCTATACTAAATATATAAGTACCTGCCAGACCTAACATTTTTTATCTATATTATACCTAGTTATAGTTTATAGTTAGTATAGTTGATCTTTAAAATCAATACCACATAATATTTAGGCTCATTTAATATACTAACTTATTAAATCTGAATACATAATGTAGGAAGTAGAGCCTAAGTGCTAAATCATTTTTAGTTTTTGCGGTAATTATTGTGTAATAATTACTATTATTATTAGTGGGCACATAATAATAATCAAAACGTATCATCGGAATAATATTATGCTACATGCGGTGTTTGTTCAGTAAACTTGAAAATTGGCGTTTCTCAGGAAACGACCCTAGCGACCGAGTACACAAACTTAGATACTTATTGGAATAGTTATATTAAGCCAGTCTACAGACAAGATAATTTTTGTACACATACCTAATATGATGTGAATAATAAAACAATAATCGTGCCACGTTTTAAAATGTGAAAATATCCATCATAAGGTTTTTAACAATTTTTTTCATTAGAACTAATAAAATGAATTTACGTAATAGTTGGTAAATAGACATTTTGAAAACAAATTTGTTGCAACATGATTGAAAATGTCGACAAACGCCGAGCGGCGTCTTCGGCGTCTAATCTTTCAAGTCTTTCGGAACGCGACATCGAGTACAAGCAACCGGTGTATTTTATACCTGATAAAGATCTTGAAGCGCAATTTGAAACCGATCGTCTTGATAGGCGAGATTCACAAATGGGTAAGTTGGACAAGATGGGAAAACAACAGTTCATGTCCATACCAGACCGTCGAGTAATTGATAGGAGCACATTCAAGCGGTTAAAAAACAAAGCTGTGGTGGTGACCGCGGAAGACCGACGAAAAAAAGTCGAGGACTTGATGGCTGACAGAGAGAGGCTGGAAAGCGAGAGCGCTGCCAGAAAGCAAAAACTACAGAGCTATGACGTACTTAGAACTAAAGGAAAACAACTTGCACAGGTCAGTGTCATTTATGTAATACGTACCCATACACATACATATATATACACTTTATTATATCAATGACTATGATGGTTTTTAAATAAATAATGTATAGTTGTATACAGGGTTATTCAATAATATCATTCATCCGGTTCTATACATTTCACTATTTGAGTGGTTAGGTGTAAAGCTATAGATCAATGTATAATATATCAATGAATAAATGATACATTAAATAGTAAATACAATAATATATAGATTCTAGTAGGTGCGATTATAGTTTATAACTAACAATAAGTGTCAGAAGCTGCTTCGACCTAATGTACCAAGCAACAGATAGCTCCATTACGCTGGCACCCGCATATTAGAAATTTAAATCGAAATTTGAGTCAACGATTGTTAAATCATTTGTGCAGGATTGTAACCACAAAATTTCAATTTGTACAACCTCCCAAACACCGCAAAATCCATAATAAAGAAAGCGTGTGCCAGCGTAACGTTACTCCAGCACCCGCTTTCTTTATTATGGATTTTGCGGTGTTTGGGAGGTTGTACAAATTGAAATTTTGTGGTTACAATCCTGCACAAATGATTTAACAATCGTTGACTCAAATTTCGATTCAAATTTCTAATATGCGAGTACCAGCGTAATGGAGCTGCAACAGATAAATCATTTTGAATAATCCTGTATGTTAGATGTTATTTTTAAAGATACTAGATAGTTTAACTTATAAACAAAATATCAATTTTATTAATTAGATATCCATTTAATGAAAAGAGCTATGACTATTTCACTTGGTACTTGGTAGATTTGTACATTTTTGTAGATAAAAGTGCCTATACTTAAGAGTTGTATCAATACATTTTTTTTATCGTTATATAGTTTATACAAACATTGAAACATTGTACCGTAGTATATGTATATTATTTATTAAAATAAATTATAACGTATGTATAATAGTATGTATAGGCAACCAAATACTAATATTGTATAACTACTGGTAGTTCAGTAATTGGAACTATAAAATCTTAAACTCGTTTAAAAAAATGTATTCACCATAAATTTATTTAAAGTAATATTTTAAACTCATCCAAACTTTTATTTTACCAGTACTTATTTAGAAAAGCTCGAATGATATAGAATAAATTCTTATTTTATTAACAGAAAATTATCATTTAAAATTATATATAAAACAGTCCGGTTAACAAATCACTGTTTGATAAATGATCCTAAATACCACATTAATTCCGACCGGCAAAGGCACTTTCTAATAACGTTTCGAAACTATTACTCTACCTTTTACGCTTCGATCACTGTCAATTCCTGCTTACGTCGTTTTTCTAAAGTATTACGAACGTTATTTAACTTCGAAATCCTACTACCTACCCTATAGTATACGTTTATTCACCACTTTTTTTCAAATTCGAAATAAACCCTACAAACACTATCGCCTGTACTGTATTAATTTGTTTTAATTCGACATTAATAAAATATATATACAGGCGTAATAATAATACCACATGGTTTCAAATAAGCTTGACAAATCGGATACAATATTTTATTGTAATTGTATTACCACCAATCATGGCGTAGGTAACGCAATATTACACAGGTTATACGATATTATAATGTAGGTACCTATACATTGTACATATATTTATTATTATGTTTATATTCTGGTGCGGTTACGTAAGGTTTATCGCTGAATCTTTAGTTTATTAAAAACAACTATAATAGTACCTATCTACTATTAAATATTATTAATAATTTTATATTAAAAGTGATATTATAATTGTTAACAGTTGGACGATGAAGCAAATAAGAAGTCCAATTACCTTCTGGCTAGAGCACAACAATTGCGACAAGACCAAGAAGATGAAATAAAACAGTGCAACTCTCTGATATTAAGTACCAAGTGTCATGCCATCCGAAACGCTCAAATTGCGGAAAAACAACTTATTCAGTAAGTTAATTGTATACATCTAAATAATAACACCTGTCACTTATAAAGGTATATTGTTATACACTTATACATTGGTATTTGGTATGTACCTACCTATGAATGCATTAGAAAAAATATTAATAATTATTTGGCTAATTGTATAGACCTTATTTTAAGAAACAAAGTTTTGAAATCCATTATTTAAAAAAATAATCGTATTTTTATGTATTATAAAAAAAAGTTGTTGATAAAGTTATATATTTGTATATGTTTGTGTTATACATTTGTGACCCGATCTCCGGGGTAGTAAAATGTAAACAAATATTTTATACCTGTTACTCAAATTGCTTGTAAAAAGTTATTTTCAACATTTAAATATATGAAAAACAGACTAAGAAATGCAATTACCGATGAACATAGGTATTGAATCTTTTATGCTTATAAGTATCAAAAATAAAATTCTCATGGAATTAGTTAACAATATTATCATAAATAGGGTTAGCGGCCATAACCTTTCATCATTAATTTTTATATAATTGTTACATTTTATTTTTTAATCGTCATTATTCAATTTTATCGAATTTATCTGGTGAGTTGGTTTGAATGTACCAATCGAAAGTATAAATTAAACATTATTATCAAATTGCGTTCCAAACGTGATATTATAAATACAAATTAACAACAGAATAATAGAATATCATTATTTTAATAATGAAATGTATTCAACATTGAACATAGATACCTAAAATGTTCTAAAATGTTATCCGGTATATATTAATATTATTAACAGGTAGTTATAATAATCCACAATTATAAATATGAATCTGCTGTAATATAATTATTATCGATTAAATTATAATACGGTTCCTATTAAATTTTTATTTACAGAAACATCCCAATTTCTTGTTTATGGGATTCATTTTTTTAGTCATTCCACATTACTTAATTTATTTGGTATATTCCCCGAATTTATAAAAACACAAATAACGGGGGAAAATGGGAAAAAATGGTTGAAAGCCTTCCGAACATACATCTAAACACTGGGAAAGTAGGTAGCATTTATTTTAAAAAGCTTCACATACTCTAGGTAGGTATCCAAAAAACAGGAAAATAACTAGATGATCTCGAAAGCTACATACTTATCAGTTATCACATTGCTAAGGGTCTGCTTTAAATTATTATAGAACGTCTCATCATTAGTTCCAAAAATATATTTAAAAATATTTTTAATAATCAAATGTATAAATAGTTCATGCGTTAGCTATAGAATTTGTATAGATTACTTACACATTATGTTTTTATAGGAAAGAAATGAAAGAAGAGGAACGTAGGATGGAAGAAATGATGGAACGGGAACGAGCGTTGGCCGCTAAAGAGCTCGAAAAGGCAGCGGAAGTGGAGAGGCAAAAAAAAAAATTCCAAGCAGTTGAGGTGGAGAAACAAATAAAAGAGAACGAGATCGCCAGGGAAATGGAGTTGGCCAGGATGGCGGAGGTATGCGTAGTTGACTTGTTGACGTGTTTATAAATATCGGGGTCGTAAAAGAAATACGTTTTTAAAACAAATTAATAACTACGCATAATATTTTCAAATGTTTAATTTCCCCCAACGAAAATTGGAGTTTCGTGATCTCGTTTTTATGGAAAACGAGAAACTCACTTATACTTGGCGTTATTGATGCATATATATACACAGGAAGCTATGATTCGAGCGGAAGCGGTGAACAAGATCCGGCACGACGAGGCTGAAAGGTACAAGGCGAGAATGGAAAAACAGGCGCAACTACGCAAGGAGTACATGTTGCTCAACGCACAGATAAGAGATTCGAAGAAGCTGGAAGAAGAGATGAATAACATTGAAGTGCTGCAGGTAACGATTATTATATATAGTGGTTGGAAACGGTACTTAGGTACCCACTACGTACTCCCTGTATATACATTTACACATACTACTACATAATCTGTAGTATCATCGAGGCCAAAACAATACTGCGTATCTGCAAAAAAAAATGAGTTATATACGTAACATTTTTCAGAAAAAAACATATAATTTAGTGTAAATAGGTATCACGTATAAATAATCAAGGCTGGGCAAGTTAAAGATTTTTTTTAACTTAGTGTTAAAAGTTAATACACACTTTTTGTTAATTTTTTAATTTAAAAAAAAGTTAATTTATATACACAACGCTGGCGTACTTAATATTTTTCCAACCAAAAACTAAATTATAGACTATAGTGTTTATACATTATATAGTATTTCCATATAAGTTAGATTCAAATGATATAAATTTTTAACTTTAAACAATTTACGATACATATTTTTTGTAATGAAAACAAAATAGACTGAAATAGTGAAATATAATTAAATTAAAAACAAAATAAATTAACATAACTTACTTCTTAAAAAGGAAAAATTAACTCGTTAATTTCACGTTAATTAAAAAAGAAATATAGTAAGTTAACAGTTAAGTTAATGAAAACCCAAAAGTAACTAGTTAAGTTAAAAAGTTAAAATAAAATTAACTTTTTAACTTATAACTTTAACTTTTTGACTCGTTAATGCCCTTCGCCTTTCGTATAATACACTAAATACAAAGAGAATATTATAAACGTTGAAACATTATCACGTATATCCATTATTAATATTATTGACAAAATACATCGTACCAGGTTATAAATTATAAATTATTTTTTTAAAACATCATTTTGATAGCATTAAATATGAGGTTAACCTATTCCCAAAATTTGATTTTATAATTAGTTTTTTGTGTCACCTGAAAAAATTACATTTTTGAGATACGTAGTATTGTTTTGGCAACGACGGTATAGTATTATACTATTATGTACCTACCTTAGTGTATAGAAACTATATATTAGAATGAGAAATGAGGTCTGAAAGCGTATAAATAAGCAAATAAAGGTGTGTTCAGCACTCCACATATAGGTGCTCCAAGATTGTGCAATTAAATAAACATCTCTTGCAAATGTGTTGCTATATTATGTAAATACCAATCGCCCCAAGAGAATGTTTTTTATTGTCTGCAACCTACAAAGGCCATCAACGTTATCAAAATATCACATAATTTTATTTTAAGTTTAATTGATTGAAATTAAATTTCCATTATTATTATCCTGCCACAGATACAAGAGTACACACGCAAAAAAAACGAACGAGAAATAGCATTTGAGCGAGAGCTACAAAAGCAGAAACTACTGAAGGAAAAGTCTATTGCCAAGATACAGGCGAGTCAACAAGCTACGTATGATTTGCGAGCCACCAAAGACGAGCTAAACGCACTCAGAGTCAGAGACCAGGTAAACGTAGTACCCACAATAAGGATAAAATGTTTCTAAGTGATCAGAGCCTTACGCTTATAACCAAAACAAAAAATGGCAACTAAATACACAGGTCCCGCATAATAAGAAAATAATAAAGTGTTTAAAAAATGATAAAACTGATATAAGGCACCAACCTCAACTAGATGGCTGGATGTACCTACCTATATAATAATTAAATTATTGGCACTCAAAGTAAATTTCAAGTATTGCTACCGCTACGTATAATTTAAGGGGAGCTATCCGATAAGCTCAAATTATTATTATATCTAGTCGTTAATGAGGCACACCGGACGTATGAATAAAACTATAATTCTATAGTTAGTTTCTACTATATGAACATATCGGATGACATGTCAGTATACCTATGTCACTAGTGAATAATATAGAGATAGCTGACTTTAAAAAAGTGCTTCATTTTTAGGAAATTAATATATACAAAATTCAAGACGTTACAATAATCAAATACCTATAGAAGGTTACGCTTCAATAGAAAACTAAATTTTCCCCATAAAAAGTGCCAAGGCGAACACTGGCTGAGAAATATTGTTTTTATAATTCAATGTACTTATTTTAAATATCACTGAAACGAAAAAATAAAACGATATTTCGCAATAAAACTAAATAGTTCTATTTTTATGGTGGAAATCGGGTTTCTAATATTATAGCCAGAATACTTCTTGTCCACCATACTACATAATAAAAAGGTCAATAATATGAGTGTATCTATTACCTTGATAATAATATGCAAAGGCAAACATTGACTGTTGTATATCAAGACTGGTTTCGTCAGCGCGAGGACGGACTCTTGAAATACGACGTTTGACTGAAAATGTTACCCTCTCGTACAATTACGGTAGGTATACAAATATTGAATGAACAGAGCCACAGAGGTTAGGTTACGGTCGAGAGGTTTATACTGATTAAAAAATCAAAATAAATATATAAATTCCTTGAAAGTCAATATTTGATTAATTAACGTTTATCTTCATAAGCGTATGCACTAGGGGTCAGTGGCGTGCGCAGGAATTTGGTATGGGGGGGGATGTCATAAATAAAAATGTATATTTTTAATATTTATTCTTTATTATTATACAAAAAAAATTCAATCTAGGCGAAAATTCATTCTTCTGGCTTTTACACTAAATTCATCAATTATTTGATCTATAGATAGTGGAATGTCTCTATGTATGTTCATTAATGCCAATCCATTTAACCGTGACTGCCCCGTCGTATTTCTTAAATACGTTTTTAATCGTTTAAGGGTTGAAAAAGAGCGTTCACTAGTCGCTGTGGTTACTGGAAGTGTAATGAGAATTTTTAAAAGCTTGTAGATACATGGAAAAATTGTATTCTCACATTCACAAAACAATTGCACGATATTTGTTGATGTACTCATAGTTTTACACTTGTTTTGCCATAAATACATTTCTCCCATGATTTGCATTTCACTGCAGTCTAAATCATCTTTGTATGTTTTAATCAGAAGTTTGAAGTCGTTGTCGGTGTCTGAATGAATTATATATCCTGGAAGCAGACAGCGAAAACATTGTAACAACTCACGATGTTGTAAAAATCTACCCTCTAGTTGTGTTAACAACAAATATTTCCGATGAGAAATTTTAAATAGGAATTTCCAAACTACACATTATTTTGATGAAATCTCTAATTCAAAATCCAGAATGTTTGAAGACTAAAAAAAAAAAAGCCCATGGGGGGGATATATCCCCCATCAACCCCCCCCTGCGCACGCCACTGCTAGGGGTGGTCAAATAGGTACTTTATTGAAGGGAGATAGATCCTCCCGTAAACTTCTTTTAAATATTTATAAATATTATATTTTAAATTATCAAATAGTTTATATGTTGAAAAATCAGTCACATCCTCCCCTTATGACAAAATCATTTGAAAACCAATGGTATACACCTATATAGGCTATATTTAATTTCTCTATTGAATAATAAAATATTAATACATGTTCATATTCATTCTAGTTTTAGACTAGAAAAACTTAATCAAAATCTTGATGTATAAAGTATTAACTAAAATATAAATTCTTAATAATTTAAAATTTTAGTTCAATATACATTCACAGCAAGACCTGACAGCCTAAATAGGTTTTGTACACAAAAATATACAGGGTATTGCACGATAAATGTGTCAAACTTCTAGAGGTGTTTCTACACCTTAAATGGAACAAGAAAAGTCCTTGTGACCTATGCCTTAAAAAATAATTGTTGTTAGATAAAACTTAAATTTTTAAATGGTCAATATTTTAAAGTTATAAAAAATTTGTGTTATTCTTTTTAGCCAAAAAATCAGGTAGGAACCTTGTAAGATATGTTTTCCTAATCCCAATTTTATGAGCTTTTCATCAATGTATTTAAATTAATTGTAGTAGGTACCTACTACCTACGGTTTAGCAGATATGAACATTATTATGAATCAAACTTGCGTTTAACCAAAATAACACAAACATGGAAATTATCACCCTTATTATTGATAATTCGATGTATTAAAAAAGTATGTTGCTGCGCGCGTGTCGCCAATATCGACACATTGTCATATTCGACTGGACGTATTTTTGGAACGGCAATACGGGAGCTATTTAAGTCAACATTACATTAAATTAGAGATACTTAATTAATTAATTGAAAAATTAAATATAATAGATCAAATAATTGAAAAATTATAATAAAATCAATTAATTTAAAAATTTAACAATTTTCAAATTTCTGATTTTTTAATTTGTATTAACCTAACTACCTATTTGTATGCCCAATTTGAACTTTCTAGGTCATCTGGAACTGGGTTAGAATTTTGATCTATAGGTCAGTCAGTCAGTCAGTCAGTCAGTGATAAAAATGACGATTTTGGGACGTTAATATCTAAATAACGGTTTGAGGTGTGTTTATGAAATTTGGAGCACATAATATGTATCTCGTAAGTGTGAATATATGAGCCAAATTTGACATGTTTATGTGGAATATATTTTGAGTTATGAGGGGGTAAAAAGTGGCTCCAAATGGTTCGTGTAATATTACACACGGCGCTGCTCGCCAGTTCTGTTAGCTAGAACTTGGCTTGACACGCTACCGCGTGTAACAGTGTACAATGCACGAGTTATAAACTTAAATTATGGTGATGCATGTACTATTTTAGGTAGGTAGTAACTACTAACTAGTAGGTGCTAATAGAGTTATGTAATTATACTCATTAGGTACTCATAATTATAGTTCCTACATGGAAAATCTATAATCGACTGTGTATAAATATTTTACGGTCGCAGGTAGAGCGTGAGTGGCGCCGTAAAGAACGAGAAGAGGCCATCAAAAAAGTCGCAGTAGAAGAAGAACTAAACGCGACCAGACGCAAACAGATCGAAGACCAAAGAATAGCGTACGCGTTTGAAATTCAAAGAGAGAAGGATGAAACCGAAAAAATCGCTAAACTTAACATCGAAGACATCAAAAAGAGTAAAGAAATGGACGAAAAAAATAGAATGGTAAATAATATTATTATGTATTGTCAATATGGCGATTTGCCATGTTAGTCTAGCTCCTAAGAAAACGGGGTGATTTCTTTATATGATGAGACTAGAAGGACGATGATCTATAATTATTTTACTTGGGGAAATTAATAATAATAATACATATTTCTGTTTTAAAATACATATTCTGTAAATTTAATAACTATTTCGCTTATAAGTTATAGGTAAGTAACTAAACTATGCCTATTTTATATAAATATATTTTAATAGGTCCTTACCTAATAATGTAATATAAATTATAATATTTGTAGGTACCTATACCTATATTATATTATTTATTTTGTTTTAGGGGGGTGAACCGTTTGCACAATACTTACTTCACCAATAGACTATATTAAATTACCGTAGAATTAAATATATCCTTATACATTTTTATTTTTAACCATCCTCTAAAGCCATAATAATATGTATAAAGTATACGTATTTACATATTATTTAAACGCTATATTATATAAATAGGGTACCTAAATATTTTCAAATATTAATCGTAACTCCCAAACTGATAACTCCTAAGACCTAAATTCTAATATTATATATACATACTGTTTATGTACCGGCAGAAAATCGAAGCACATCGTAGAAACCTATTAAAACAGATAAACGATAAAGAACAGGAAAAGATACTCGAAAGGAAAAGATTCTTCCAAGAAGGTATAAAGCTGAAACAAGAAGAGCTTGCCAGGCAAAAAATGTTACGGGATACAATGTACAATAAGATCGAGGAACTCAAGTAAAACAATTATTACTATAATAACTGATACACAGCTGGCATTTGTTTCCACATCGTTTTGAATAAATAAACGATTATAATATGATTTCAGGATGCACAACGTACCGGAAAAGTTTGTTCAGGGGATTGTGAGGCAGCTCAAGTTACACAAATAATACTAAGATACTTTCGACGATGCTATAATATTTCCGGAGGAATTGTTTTCATAATAAATACCTAATACGTCAGCATATTAAAATAATTCCCATCACACGTAGATACTATTATCAACTTATTATACTAATGTACACCTCTCAATATTATGACATATTATTATTACCTACATCTACTACAGTAGGCACGTGCCAATCGATCGTGTAAGTGATGAATTTCACACTCAAAATGAGATTCTCGGCGACAGCCTAATGGAATTCTCGTGTAAATTATTAACATAGAGTATCGGTTTCGATTGAACGATCACAAAATATTAGATTCCGTAAGCTATTCTAGCGATAACATTACGATATAAATGTATAATAGTCGTTAGAACAATTTATAGAAACTTAAAATGTCACAAGTTCACTGCGGTAGACTTGTCTCGAACTACAATGTTACGTCACAACTACGTGCTACGTATATCCAATACTTTTCGTGTTAAAACGTTCAATAATGTTTAAAATAATAATAATAATAATATTTATTGTTACCAAATTAAAATTAATGTACAAAACATCTTATAAGCAAAAATTTATTAAATTTTTGGTTCTCTTTTCAAAAGCAAAGCTTGTGCAGAAAAGAGAGAGTAAGTGATCAAAGTCTTAAGTGATTGAGAAAATGAAAAATAATACAAAAAAAGAAAAAAAAGAGAGAAATAATAATAACAATATACATAAGGATAATAATTACAGTAAGAAGTATATTATAATCAATAAGAAAAATTAATATGCAGTATACAATACGTTGCAAAAGGCATTATTGCAACAAAACATTATTTATATATTTTTATACATTTTAAAGCTGTTAAAATCATGAATATTAAAATTATATTTAATACAAAATGTTATGAACTTATATTTAGGGGTCTGTTGCCCAAATACTGTATTCATTTTAGGGACAATAACATTAGTATTAACCTCAAAGAGCGTATTACAATTGTGACACGGAACATCAATGCAAGTTTTGAAACTGTAAAACAATAGGCAAATGTTTTTTGTGTATAATGTTTTTAAATTTAATATCTCTAACTCTTTATATAATAATGAATTGTAGAAAATAGTGAAGGTTTATTGAAAATAAATTTGAGTAATGAGTTTAAAGTGATTTCAAGGTTCTGAAAGTGAGTATGATATGTTCCTCCCCAAAATGAAATCCCATAAGAAATAATAGATTGAATTAGTGCAAGGTATGTAAATTTTTTTAATTTGACGTTTAAAATAGATCTAAACGCACCTAAGAGATTTATATATGTAGAAAAATGTTCATAACATATTATTTATACAATTTATGTGTACACCCATTTTAAATTAGCATCAATATAATATAACCCTAGGTATTTAATAGAGCTTAATCTATCTAATTCTCTATACATTTACATACATTATTTTTATTATTCCTGATGATACAACTATTGGAATGAGCAATGATTTTATAATTATTTAAATCTGTAGATTTTCGTATACCAAAGTGAATGTATTTAGTTTTTTCGTTGTTTATCTCTAGCGAATTATTATAAAACCAGTTTTCGACAATATTAAAACTTTCCTCAGCCATCTCATATAAGTTATTTATACACGGACTTTTTAATAAGATGACGGTGTCATCAGCAAAACAAATTATTTTACCAGGAGTATCTTGATGAAAAAGCCCATTAATGTATATTATAAATAACAAAGGTATATCCAATACTTTTCGTATTAAAACGTTCGATAATGTTTAAAATAAAAACTCAAACTTACCATGATCATGATGCACGAAAAACACTGCTATGAGTAATGAATCATACTTTGGATAGGCTTGATCCAGGAACTATAAACCAATGAAATGATATAATCATTAGGGTTTTAATATCCATTCGTACTGTCTTTTCATTAGATGAATCATAACTTTTATCATCGTCCATGACACAGTTAATCGCAATGCACTATTATAATAATTTTTAGTTTATACACAAAAATCACTACCTATTTAGAAATATATGTTTATAACATAACGAAATATTTTTCTCTCGTGTTTAACGTGGGATTATAATATTTTATAACCGAATTTGTATGGTTGTAGCTGTTTATTCCATGCACACGATTTCGTGGAAACGTCACTGTTTAAAAAAAAAATGGAAGTTACCCGGTTCTTCCTCCATTCAAATGCTGTTTGTGGTACGACAGCGGCCCGGCGGCGTCCAGACGGTAATATTATGTGGCCGCCCCGGCGCCCCACACCGATATCGGAAAATTTAATATTTCCAATAACTATTTGATTAATTACATTTTTGAACTTTTCTCATTACACGGCTCATCTGCACACCAGTCACAAAATACAAAGTACTTTAACGCTACGTACATATATTTACACGCATATAATATTATATTATACAATTTACGAACAAATTTAATTAAAAACAACATCGAATTAGACGCTGTTAGCGGCAAAATAATTTTCGATGTTTTTCGAAAAATTTCGTACCTGTTATGGTTTTAATCTCATGAAAAAAAATTTGTAAAGTAAAAGTATCGGTTTCGGTTTTTAAATTAATTTAAATGACGGTTTCGGTTCCAAAACCGGTTCTTTTCGGCAATGGCGTCATTCGGGGGGTGGCAACTGGGGCACTTGCCCCAGTCTAGTATTTGCATCAAACTTAAGTCGGCACATTTACCCCCCCCCCACCACTATGGCACTATACTATGAGAATCTGAGTGAAAAAAATGTTGAGTAGGATAAGCAGTGAAAAGTTGCCCTAGTCTAATAAAAACTGAAATGACGCCACTGCTTTTCGGTAAGGTTCCAGTCTCTGGTCTTAACAGTTAACACCATAGTATAGTATAGTAGCAGTACTAACTACCACAGTAAATGTATTTCAATTTTTAGTTTCTTTCGTATTTTATGTCTTTATAGAGTAGAGACAACAATTATAATAGAATAAATTAATAACATCAAATACAACTATATTACAACATTAAGGGTCCCGGTGTCAGTTTTTCAAATTTTCCATAATTCTATAAGATTTGAAAATTAAATTTTATATTTTAGTTGCCACCTCAATTATAAGACTTGTCCACTAATCTATTGCCCGATACCTATTTAGGGGGGGGGGGTTGATAGGGTGTATTATATCGAACAAAAATGACTTTACGGGAATAACTCTCAAGCTTTGTAGAATTGTCGAATTTTGATGACAATTAGAAGAAGACTTCCTACAGCCCGCATCGATCTCTGTTTTTGTATTTTATTTCAAATAATTGTATTAAAAAACTTGTAAAAAAATGCTTTTTAACTTGTATTTTTTTAGACATATTTTTTTTTACATCTCGTTAGAAGATGAGACAGAGATAGGAGGTCATTATTGTGTGTGAACTATTATGTGTTATTATGCACAATATTGACATATTGTTATGTACTTAATATGTATTATAATTTATAATCAATGTAAATTATCATTACTTGGTAAATCGCACCGCTGGAACAAGACTATCACTACTCAACATTTTTAATTTTGAGAAAGTGATTTGAAGATTAAATCTATGGTATTTGAAAGTTTTTTACGTAATACGTATGCTTTTGAAACTAAAAACTTAAATAAACTTGCAAAGATATTTTACAATATGACTTTATAAAATATGAAATACTCTCTCGAACCCAAAAAGTTAGACTTGTGACTTTTTACAATTTTTTAAGTAAGTGCAAGACTGCCATTTTTTGAGATGTGACTGTATTGTATACAAAAATCGATTTTAAGACAGCCATTTAAAAAAATATGACAGTATTGCATTTCATATTGTAGATGCTTTATAACAAATTATAAAATGCAATACAGCTACAACTCTAAATTTTGACGTTTTGCACTCAACATATCATATTACCACACGATAAAGTTAATATAGGTCTTGAATTTTGACTTCAGTGATTAATTGTTTAAATTAAAATAAGTAAATTGCCATAAAGTAAATATGGCTCTCTTGCTTTGAAAATTGACTAAAAATTTAATAATTCAATACTGACACCTTTTTTTTAATGGCTAAATGAAAAATGATATTAAATGTGGCATTCTTGCATTGTATTTTTTCACTATTCGAAAGTACCTAGTCATAACTCAAAATTGATGAATTTTCAGTTGTGGCAGTCTTGTTCTGAAGGTGCTATATTATAATATGCACAGATATACGTCCACTGCGTATCATATTTTTGTATACTTGTCGTGACGCTGATAAAATTTTAGTTTTAAAAAAAAAAATTCCTAAAAATTGAAAAATTAAAATATCAGTGTACAGTTTGCACTTGATTATGAAACAATGCTTATAGAAGACGCTGACAAAAAACCAAAAGTTTAATCGTAACGCTGACCAAATTATAGTCCATTAAATAACAAGATACATGACGCCAATTGGCGTCATTCAGCACATGCAAACTATGTAGAATGACGCCAATTGGCGTTTTACGCAGCAAACGTGTTAAGGCTACATCATACAATTATTACAGCCACCTTATAGGTAATGGCAATGCTACTTTGATAATATATTATATGAGGTATGCAATAAGTAAAGGCAAATGCCTTAAATAATAATTAAATCAATTTTAAATGCAAAAATGTTCCAAGTATAACAGATTATATACGAACATAAGCATGCACACTGCACAGAGGTCCTCTTGACAGGGGAGGCAATACCGTTGCTGAAAAGGTCTAGGCGTCACATACCTCATGGATGTACTCCGATGTAGTATTGTATTTTTATTAAACCATAGTAAATTGATCTATATGGAGATTTACTCTAAACATACAAATACCACAACAGTTTTCAATAAGTAGTTATGAACAATAATGTCTTCAAAAAACAATGAAAAAAATATAATTTAAATACCTAATATTCTTTTGACGGTAGGGTTCAATATTTTAAAAACTTATAGAACTTTTTCATAATTGTATGCTTGATCCAGTTCAATAAATATATTTAGAAGTAGGTCCATC